TAAAACATAAGGATCTTTTAACAAGCTTATCATGATAAATAATTAATTCTACTTAATCTAAAGCCACTCAATCAACACATAGTCATAAGATCATCTATTCTAAACAAAAGTATGGTGTTTTAGCCCATACCTTCTTCAAATAAAACCATAAACACGAAATTCAATGTTGCAAACATGATTCACACAAATAGTTAAGAAAAAATAATGATTAATTGCATTTCATCTCTTCAAAATTGCCTCTAGTCAAATTCTGAGTTCCAAAGCTCCTTCAGAATGTCTCTGGTCTCCAAAAGTCCCTAAAAACTCTAAGCCATCGTTAGTGTTTCCAAACCAACACGTCACGTTTTTAGAATAAGCATGTCGTGTTCTTCTTCAATTTTATCTTCTTTCTATGAAATCCAAAATCCAAGCTTCCAATCGCTAAATCTGCTTCCTTTTCCTTTCGAGCATGTCTTTGTTGCTAAAAATGAAATTTTAAACTAATTAAGTACCTTTTGTTCAATATTTGAGACAGAAACAACATAAAGTATTAAGATAATGCATGAATTTTATAACTAAATATGCCCATATCATGTTCACTCCAGATAATCAATGCACATCTCTTACGAACCATCCTTCTTCTTGATGAACAATATCGACAATCCCAATGGAGAACTGCTCGTCCTGATGAACTGCTTGCCTAGAAGCTCCTGCAGTTGAGATGACAACTCTTGCATGCAATATGGTGCCCTGGTAATCAGGGATGCACCTGGCACAAGGTCGATCTTATACTCGACCCGCCTCTCTGGAGGCACACTAGGTAACTCCTCCTGAAACACATCTGCAAACTCCTTGACCACCGAGACCTCTAAAACTGAAATCTGATCCCCAACATGTGTATCTACCACATAAGCCAAGTAACCCGCACACCCATGCTGTATATACTAATGAGCCTTGGCCGTTGAACAAACCCATGAATCCATCCTGGTGCTCTTTCTATAGATAACCAATTCTCCCCCACTTGCGATTTGAGCTACCACTCATTGGCCCTCACAATCAATCATAACACCAAATCGGCTAATCCAGTTCATACCCATCACACAAACATCTCTCATGGGAATCGAAATCAAATCAATCGCGTAGGACACCCCGAAGATCTCTAGCACACATCCCTGAAATATCACTGATATAGAAATCCTGTGTTCGATGGTGATAGAAACCCGCAATGAACACTCTAACTCCTAAATAGGCATATCAAATCCCCTACTAAACGACAGAAATACAAAGGACCGACTCACACCCGAGTTAAACAACACGAGAGCAGGCAAAGAGTTTACTAGGAATGTACCTATCATGGGATAAATATAAGCATAACATAAATATAACCATGAGAATAACAAAAGAAAGCATACCAATCACAACATTTGTAGCTGCTCTGGTCTCCTCGTAAGTGAGTTGAAAAGCACGACCTCGAGCCCTAGGGGGATTCACCCTACCCTGGCGCCTATTGGTGATCCTCAAAGTAGCTGATGTCGGGGCCTGCAACGGCTTGGTGGCAAGCAAGGGATAGTTGACCTTCACATAACCAACTTAATCACATATATAGAAAATCCTGGAACTCAGAACTGGGGCCGGCTGACAATAATCCCTCGCATCATGCCCTTCCTTGCCACATTTGTGACACACACCTCATGATTGACAGCCCCTCTCATGAATCTTTGTAGACTTCCCACAAGTGTGTCCCCTCTAACTCCCAGATATAGAATCAATGGTCTTGAACCGCTTCTATGATGGTTGCGACTGTATTGGGGCCGGTCTCTTCTCTCTCATCTGAAGCTCTATCTAAATCTCACACCGCCCGGCGGCCTCCTGCATCCCCAACAATGTATCATAATGTTGGGTGGAAACAAACTATCTAATATCCGTCATGAGCATGCTCAAGTAATGGGTATCTGAGCCTACTCAAAAGCAAACTCAGGATAAAAAATAGCCCTATTTGGGAACATCTTGGTGATCTCCATCACCGACTCAGTCCCCTACCTCACATCCAAAAACTCATGGGTCAATCTCTAACGCTCCACCTGCGACACATATCTAGTACGGAACATCTCCAAGAACTTCTCCCAAGCCACAATAGCTTACTCATCAGTGGAATATGATCCCCTAACAATTCTCCACCAATCCTTCGCTCCGGACCTCAAGAAGGTTCAGAGCGCACTTGACCTTCTGGTCAGCTATGCAAGAGCAGGTGAAAAACCATCACTCAATGTCAGATAGCCACCTCATAGCTCTGATAGGGTCCTAAACTCCATAATAAGTCAGGGTACTTTGTATTATCGAATTCTCGATACTGAACCCTCCACCAGTCAAGGAAGTAGTGGGTGAGAGTGGACAACCGGCTTTGTGAATGAAGCCTACTAATGGTAAAATGACTTGATCTTTTATATATATATATATATATATATATATATATATTATTAACTTATAATATTATAAAGTATAAGGGTTGAATTTTAACTTTTAAAATTCTAAGGGTTGGAACTAAAGTTTTTAAAGTGACTTTACATGTTCCAAAACTTGAGGGTAAGTTTTGTAACTTTCAAAACTTTCCATCTTTCATAACTTATGAGTTACTGGTTTATTAAAATGAGAGACTTTTCATTTTATGTAACCTATGTGTTTCATAATGGACTTTAAAATAGTGATTTTTGGTAATCCATAACTTGAGGATAAATTATGGATTCCATTAAAACACATCAAAATCAAGAATTAAGCTAACAAGCAAGTTACAAATAATTCTTATGATCTTCTAAACTCATAAGTTCATGAACATCCATATCAACAATTTCAAGAATCATAAATAAACCATACAAAGCTTGAATTTTGATATTAGCAATTGAAAAAGGATTAGCATAACCATTACACCATCTAAAACAAGTTTTATAATACCAAAACAGTTTAGGGTAATGTTTCTAGTCCATTTCCAGCAACACAACTCGAAAATCTGCAATCAGGGGCTCCCACTCATCGAGTGCATGAACCTGCTCGACAAGTAGGATGAATTTTACACATTGACTCATCGCGTCCCCCCATGGACTCGGCGAGTTCACTCAGCATATTGCACATTTTTAAGTTTTTTCAACAAGTTTGCATCAAGTATCAAGTAAACAATCATAGGCTCTGATACCACTGAAGGGTTTTGAGCATTCTAACACTCCTAAGGTGTACATGCAACCCTAGAAACCTTGGATCTATGTTTTACTAATATACATGCAAATTTGATTTTCCAAGGTTCTTAACCTAACTACCAAGGCATGGGGAACTTTGAATCATAATAGCTAGTAGAAGAACATACCTTTTGTTGTTTGGATTCCTTGAGAACCTTGTGAGCCTAGCACCTCAAGTGTGATGCTTCAAATGTCTCACACAACACCACAACACTTGGAATAACCGTGAGAGAAGATCACTAACACTCAAAATTTGGCTAGCTCTCTTGTACTTCCTTTGTAGTGTCGATTTTGCTAGACTTGGGTCTTTATATAGTTGTGTCACAAGTAGGGTTACACCATGTAAACCCTAAATGTCATGGTTTTCCATATTCCATGAGCCATGGGTTTATAACCTCCATGGACTATCCATGGAGCACCTTATGGGTTTAGCCCAATTCATATAAACCATGGATCATTAGCCCACTATACAAGAATGGATGATTTACACAATCAACCCCATTTATTTAATTAGTATCTTTTTGATCACTTAATTAATTCCATATTAATTCTTTGATCAATAATAATTAAATAATATTATTAATATATTAGAACTTATAATATATTAATAATCCTTAAGTGTCCTTTCTCTCATTTAGTCTATCCAAGTGTTGCAATGCCATGCAACCCAAAGGGACCATGCCAACCGGGTCAAGTAAATTCCAGAAATAGTTATGAACTTAGACACCTAATCTAACACTATATTCTTCCCTCATTCTAATTAAATCTTTGTTTTTAGCATCTACGTTTTCTTTAAGAGTCTTGTTGACTTTCTTAATTTCATAAATTTCATTTTTAATATCAAAAACCTCTCTAACTAATAACTCATTATGCTCACAATATTTCTTAACTTTATCTTTACAGGACTGAGAGCATGGGATTTCACTTACTTTCTTGGAATTGTTGTAGGAACTCATTATTTTCCAACAGAAGAAATCTGATGAAAATGGATTTTGATCGAAAACCAAGAAAATAAATGCCCTTTGACTTGTAATCTTGAAATTCAACCTTTGTTTCCAAGAATAACCTTGACCGATAATAAGGATTTAGGACCGAGAACAAAAATTTATATACCAAATACATTGCTTCTTGACCGAATAAGAAACTTTAAGAACCGAAAACGATACTTCAAAACTGAAAACTTGGCCGAAAACGAGATTGCTGGACGAACTTGATTTTGGGCCGAGAATGTGAGGCCGAAGTTGTGTAGACCGAGAAGCCTGAATACCGAGAAGTCAGACCGAATACGAGGCCAATAACTAACAGTGTGGACAGAGAATGCGAGGCCAAAGACTACTTGACCGAGAACCCTAAGAACCGAGAAGCAATGCCGAGAACATTGAGAAGCGAGAAGCGAGGATGATATCCTTAACCGAAAAGTAGCTAACCGAGAACTACGAGGCTGCAGACCGAGAACGAGTACTGATTGAGATCTTCACAAACCCTAACTGAAATCAATTGTTGGCCGCCGAGATCTCGCAACCCTAACCGAATATGAGGCTGCCGCCGAGAACTACAAAGGTTGTGACCGAAGACCTCAAAAAAGTTTCCAAAAACATGAAAATTTGGACTGTAGGTTTTAAGGTGTAGTAACTTTGCAATTTTTGGTATTTTGTACTCTAAGAGCTCTTTTGCAAAAGGATATGTCACACTTCTAGACAAGGAGTCTTGGTTTGGTATCTGAAGGATGTGATTGAGGTGGAACTATTGGGTGGTGAGGTATTGTTGCACCAACATGTTGTTGTACATTGAGAAATGCATTGGAGTTTGGCCATAGAAGCTTTGAGGTTGGAATGGGAAGGTAAGTGGCGGATATGTTGCAAATGGTTCGATCGTTGTCAGTAGTTGGTTTGTCGTGAACGGTTGGTTTGTTGAGAGCTGTTGATTTACTCTGAATGGTGGAAGTTTTTGTAATGACATAGAAAGTGGTATAGTTGTTGTGAACAAGGTTTCATGGAAGGCGGTGGTTTGTTCGCCCGCGGTTTGGTTTACCAGCGGGGGTAACGTTTGTGCGAAGGAGAATCTTCTACCGGTGGCTTGTATAATTGGCGACGTTGTGCTGCTGAAAATCGACGTTGCTTGATGGTTATTGAATAGAAAAGTTTACAGTGACGTAGTGGCAAAAGGTATCGGGTCTTCCATTGTTGGACTCCAAAGTTCACATATCGAGGTTCTAATCATCGTTGGGCCACCAGACTGTGTCGCATTAGTCACAACAGTTGTCGACCTGATGCAATGTGGTGATGGGAGTGATGCCTTGTTCTAACGACATCATAGAACTGTTGGACTTCTCGGCGTTTGCTAGCTTTTTCAATGTTTTCATTCGTCATCTTTGAGGTTGATGATGTGTGGTTGTTGGTTATCCTTTGTCACACACCAGACAACGCCAAATGATGTGACCTGGTCCTTCGATTGAAGAAATGGTGGCTCTGAGCCCTACAACATAGTTTTGATTACTCTGGGAAGACCTACATGGTCACAATAAGGGAAAACTATCAGCTGTTCTCCGGCAGGTGCTCTCGGGAAAATGCTCCAAAGTTCAAGTCAGTGACTGAAATAAGGGTGTATGGTTTAAGCTTAGAGAGACCGACTTAGGCCTCGTTTTAAATGCTTCTGACTGATTTAGTTAAGACATTTTTGGCTGACTCGGTCAGCTAAAGCTTTTTGGTAAACCTTCTGACTCGGAAATTGAAGTCTGACCCGGTAAGAAAGAAATAAGCGGCTGACTGAGAAAGGAAGACCTCGTGTTCCACTTATTTCCATGCTTGTGTATCCTTGTACGTTTACATGTGTATCATATCCCAACAGGAAGAATCGATCCAACACCCACTTTGCATCTCATTCTTAATAGACTCACATAATCGATCAATCCAATACCCCCTTTGCTTTCTTAAAATCAATCACACCCCCACCAAGTTTTAATCGTTGATATCTCTAGATCGATCGATGGACTCGAGGGACTGTCTCACCACTTTGGTTCGAATTTAATTATAGGTATGTTCCACTTCTCATTTGCGTTTATATCTCTAGAAACAGTAAGAAATCGTACACTACCCCTTCTTTTAAATCGATCACAATTGCTGGTTGATTTTGGATTTAGACAATATGAAGAACAAGAAGGGGCATGAAATGTAGGTGAAAGTGGAGAACGAGATGGGCTCAACTTAAGGTATCCATTTTAATTTTTGAATATTTTTTTCATATTATGCAAATGTCTTCTAAAACAAGCTTTAATCATTTTGTTTCATCACAAATCATAATTATAATATGTGTATTTGATAGCCTCTACTATAATCAGGCTCTGATTATGATTGTGAAAAATATCAAATTTGGTGGTCAAAAGTCAAAGTCTTGAGTTCAATGTATGGTTGATGTTGCTCTACATATTTATTATTATATTTAAATCTAATGTTGTAGGAAATAGAATATGATTGATAATTACTTAAAATTTTACCTTCGATATTTGTTCATATTGATGATTTCTAGAGTATATTATTCGTGGAGTTGACTTGTATTGATGAGTTGTATTATATGAGATGTTATATGATCGATCTTAAGGGCAGAAAAAATAAAAAATATACTTTAATTGGTGCTAGGTGAAGCTATATGTAGCTATATATTATATATAAGTATATATTATGTATGTTGGACCTTTGTTGTTGCTATTGCATTTCTTCGTAAGTGTTTGGTTTGAAATCAAGTGTCTGATCAGATGTACAATCAAGTTGCAGGGGAAAATGGTCATTTTTCATCACTCAATACATTCGGTCAGATGTACAATCGAACAACATGGTTTCTTACTCACTCATAATTTCTTACCCGTAGCAGGCCTTTTATACTGAGATCTCCTATGAGTCCGTACGTGGTAGAACGTTGTCAGATCCGACGCCTTGATTGGTTAATCGTGCTCCTCGGTGTGCTAAAGCTAACGATTGGTTCAGCTAGTAATGCTCTGAGCATACTCCTTATCGTTTGGGGCCATTGGGTTTGTCGTGGAGTGGAATGTGCACTAAATTGATTATCATGATCATTGATATTAATTGCCCAATCAAAAATCTCATGATACAAACTTAATAATAATTGTTTAGATAGTTAATTACATGATATTGTGTTAATTGTCTTAATAACTATAATGTTGGTTAATTTGTCCAATATAACTGACTAATATAGAAATCGATGAATAATTGCTAATATCTATTGCACTCTATCGGCGTCCACTATAACTGACAGGCATAATAGACTCAATGTGAAAGAATATTTATATATCTTGTCTTTAAATCTAGTTTCTAGTTTTGTTTTGTGTCCAATTTAGTTTAAACGAAATTCCCTATTTACTTTTTTGTTTATAGTTTAATTACCAATTGAATGTGTTTGACACATGGTCTTATCTCAACTACACTTCTACATGATTATGTGTACTATCTATTGTGCCTTACAATCGCTATGATAAAATCAATTTTTTTAAATTTAAAATTTTGATTAATTTTTAGTATATAAAACCACAGTTGTAGTATGTACTATGAAATGGACTCCGACAATATAAAATGGGGCTCATTGCATAACAAAGTATTTATCATTTTAGCTTTTATATTTTGTAGTGGACCATTGCAAAATGGTGGACCGTAATATCAAATTACCTTTTAGATCTTTAAATTTGTACGAATTCTTTAGTTTCAAATTCAAAATGCTTAAACATACTCTAAATGGGATGGAAGGCCATATGATATCCGTGTGTAAGGCCAAAATACGTTTGTTTCCGTTTGAGTTGTCATCTAAACAAGTGAGATTCAATAAAAGATAATGACATGGGGTGTTTAAGGCCGATGGCTCAGGTTATGAGGGCGTTGCAGGTCGTGATTCGAAACATATGGTCCTAAATATGATCACAAAGATCCAGAAAGTGGTATCTACTTCTTGGTTCAATCGAAATTCGAAACTCAAGTTAAAATGTGTTGCTGACTAATATTTATAAAATGTGTTGGGATGTGCTCACAGAAACATAATAAGGTTATCACCAACACTTCTTGACAATTAAAAGCCCACAAAGAAAATTATTTGATACATGATTTATAGCTTGCGACAATGGTATATATGTTTTAGAGATTTGGCAAAATTACTATGTAGAACGAGATGTAAACTTTTCGACGACCAATAGAGCTTATAATATTTGTGTTAAAATAAATAATATTTTCATAATAAAGAAACTAACATTTTGTTATCTTTTAATATTTGGATATATTTTGTAGTATTTGTGGTTAAAAGGTTTTTAGCTTTATTCAACAAATGGTCGGGGATTGGATGTATACATCACAAGTTCATCCGGGTTTACATTCGGATCTTAGGATCCGGGGTTACCCAGGTACGTAAGGCTTCGACGACTGATCGTGGGTTATTATTCACTCGATCAGTTTCACTCTGTGACATCCTCATTTTCACGGCCAGAAAAGACCGATTTTGTTTATGCTTTATAAAAACCAGAGTACTTCATTTTATAAAAATGTTGCGGAATTTGTTCCCAGAAAAACATGGTAAATACGTTATTAAAACATTTTCGAAGAAACGTATTTATTTCATTTTAAAACGTTTGGGACGTCATCGTTAATACAGAAACATAAGCATAAACAGAACTTACAATTATTTACACTAGTGATCTACATCTCTTTAAATCTCTCAGTGTAATGTCACTTCATATCAACACCTGTAATATAAATAAACTGAGTGGGTCGGGTTGGGAAACCTGGTGAGTACATAGGGTTTTCAACCCACAATAATATAATTATTATGTTTAAACAATCAAACAATCAACCCAATTACCCATCCCCATTATCTTCTTTATTCTTAAGGATCTACCCTAAGAATCAGCTATTTCTCATTCATTCATTCCTAAGGATCATCCTAAGGAAACAACATGAAGTCCATTGTTGCCAATGACACATTGGTCAAGCGCAGCTGCTAATATTGTCACTTAGGCTCAGCTGCCAGAATTAGGACATTTTCTATGAGGCGCTTCTGCCGGTATTGACCTTTAAACACTACTGTCATGGTCATAAGGCTCCCTATTAGGCGCAGCTGCCGATACTATCCTTAGAGCGCAGCTGCTAGGATGTTTACCGTAGATCTAAATCATCTACGGGTTGTGGCGCAGCTGCCAGTGCTCATCTATAGGGTACTAGGTCCACTGCTGCCAATGTATACCTATAGGGCACTAGGTCTGTACTAGTAATGTTCCTCTATTTCAGCTTTTATCCATCATCATTCATCTACCCATGTTTTACCCAACATATTTTGTAGATATAAAATACTTTATACAGTTTACATCATTTAAAACATGTATAAAAATCTTTCACCAGCATAGACAACAAGTATTCAGACAATATGCACACATAACACGTAATTTATATTAAAATACTTCATATCTATGTGTAAGATAAAAGGGACCATGCACTCACAACACGTAAATTATATAATAAATACTTCATATCTATGTGTAAGATGAAAGGGACCATGCACTTACAACACGTAAATTATATAATAAATACTTCATATCTATGTGTAAGATGAAAGGGACCATGCACTCACAACACGTAAATTATATAATAAATACTTCATATCTATGTGTAAGATGAAAGGGACCATGCACTCACAACACGTAAATTATATAATAAATACTTCATATCTATGTGTAAGATGAAAGGGACTATGCACTCACAACACGTAAATTATATAATAAATACTTCATATCTATGTGTAAGATGAAAGGGACCATGCACTCACAACACGTAAATTATATAATAAATACTTCATATCTATGTGTAAGATGAAAGGGACCATGCACTCACAACACGTAAATTATATAATAAATACTTCATATCTATGTGTAAGATGAAATGGACCATGCACTCACCTGAGAAGGTGGTGACTCGGTACTCGGACAACGCTTCGTTTACTTTAAAATAATTTCCTTCGACGAAACCTAGTATTATCACCATTAGATTTTAGTCTATTATTCGCCGAGACTAATTAATAGTCTAGCTATTATTACTATTATATATACGTTAAAAAAAATACTTATATAACCCATAATAATAGCCCAAGTATTTATTATATGTTCTTAATAACGTTAATATAATTAAATAAAAACTATATTAAAAATAGCGTAGGCGTAGCTCACTTACAGCGGGTTTTATAGAAAATCAGACTTTGCTTGGAGCAGCGTTTCCGAGCCGAAAAGCTCTTCTTCTCGGAGCCGTCGAGCACTCCGGGGCT